ATGTTCCAGAGAGTCAGCACCATGGTAGAGATCCCATCAGCTGGACAAGATGGTTCATCAAGTAGCCTGGATGGGCTTTAAAAGTCATAACCAACACCTTGAACTGTACCCGGAAGCAGACCAGCAGCCAGTGCAGCTCATGGAACAGTTGTCAGGTCCCCAAAGCCTTATCGTTTTCCCTGCATATGTGCTATTGTTTGGGACCTGCCATTCTGCTGGGGGGGGGGAGAATTTTGGGATAACTTTCGCTTTCTGCTTTTCCTCTTCCACTCCTATCCGCTTGAGAAAAGCATGTGTCTCCACGGAGAAATGAAACTGGAGAAGACCTTGAAATGCATGCCCACTGTGCCAGTTATGCAAACATCATGCCACCTGTGGATCGGCTGGATTTCAAATGAACATTGCGACTTTGGCGGGAGGAGGAAGATTGCTAGTTGGACTATACCGTTTAGGCAGGCTTTTCTCCACACCTCGCCTTGACTTCCCTACTGTCACTGACCCCTAATAAAAGTTCCTTTTGAGACAATGCCTGTTTCAAGAGTTCTGCTTTCTTGGGTGGTTAGCTGAGGTGGGTCCTTACAACAGTGGTGTAACATGGGTCATTTTAGGGGTGCCAAAGTCTGCCCATACTGCCACTCTCTGCACCAGTTGAAACGTCCGAATGCTCTTCAAGGGTAGCCCCATGTACAGCGCATTGCTGTAGTCCAGATGTGAGATTACCAGGGCTTGAGTGACTGAGTGCAGGGACTCCTGACCCAGAAAAGGCTGCAGCTGGTGCACAAATTGAAGCGGTGCAGGAGTCGTGAGTCCAGGAGAACCCTTAAGTTGCAAAGTGGGTCTGAACGGGGTAGTACAACCCTATCCAGAACTAAATATGTCAATGATCTGGATCTTAAAGCACCATGTACTCAAAGCCACTCCTTCTTTGAAAAATGAAAGATGTTCTTTCATTTGCATTGAACAGGAAAGCTGAGATGGACTCCTTACACCAAAGTAAATAAGAGAGAATATCATCTAAAACAGGGCTTTTCAACCAGTGGTACGGGTACCACCAATGGTATATTGGCACCTGGCAGGTGGTACGTGGCCTTGCCCAGCCTAGCCAAGTATAGCGGGGGAGGGAACGAGCCAAAGTGCAGCGCAGGACTTACTGTGAGAGAGTCCTCAGAAGCTGCAGGGTAAGTCGAGGACTACGTGTACTTTATCACTTTTTTCCTTTTGGGGGGGGTCATCAAGTTTTTGATTGGGGTCAAGTTTTTGCTTTTCAAAAGGTTGCAAAAGGGGATCAGATGACCCTGGGACACTGTGACCATCATAAATATGAATCAGTTGCCAAGCATCCAAATATAAATCACATGACCCTGGGCATGCTGCAATGGTCATAAGTGTGAAAAATGGTCATGTCATTCAGTGCAATTGCAACTTTGAACAGTGGGGTTTTTTTTTTTTTTTGGTCATCAAGTTTTTGACACCTTGCTAGGTGGTACTCGAACACTGCCATATCCTAAAAGTGGTACAGTCGATGAAAAGGTTGAAAAGCCCTGATTTACAACACATGCCCTTGCATATGCTGTGATCTGTATATAAAAAAAGAAAACTTGTTTAGCTATTTTCTCAACAGTCAGCTTAGAAAATCTGTTAATAATATAATCTCTCTTCCACATTTGGAATAGCCACATACTGGAATCCCACCCCCTCCTAATGATTATGGAGGAATAGGGGCAATTCCTGTTTCCACCTCTGCTAACTAATTCATATAAATCTACAATTAGTAGTAGGATCACCAGATTACCCAGATTTCACTTCACAAGAGACAAAAAGGCATAGTAAGCAAACAAGCGGAACAGACGTCAGCCCTCAACAGCCAGGAGTGTCCAACAAGGCAAGAATTGAAGTTCAGTAGGGGCAAATGCCCACCACACTCAGTAGCTCATTCGGTATCTTGCTCTATATTATGGCTCCAAGCACTACAAATCCCATCCATTTTTATATTCTCCAAAAATGGGGAGGTCAGTCCCCAGCATCATCCTCTTTTCACACCTCCTTGTACCTCTTCATTTTTTACTTCTTCTGTTCAATCATATCCAATTCTCGGAGACTGCCTGGACAAGTCCCTGCGATTTTCTTGGCAAGATTTTCCAGAAGTGGTTTGCCATTGCTTCCTTCCTAAAACTCGGAGCGTGTGACTGGCTTAGGTCACCCAGCTGGCTTTGTGCCCAAGTTGGAACTAGAATTCATGGTCTCCCAGTTTCTAGCCTGATGCCTTTAACCACTGTCTACTTTGCCACTTAAGTGCTACCATCTCACCCAGTTCACGTATAATCCATCTCTTGTCTCCTGAATCATCTTTAACAGAGTAACAGAGTTGGAAGGAACTTTGGAGGTCTTCTAGTCCAACCCTTTGGTCAAGCAGGAAATCCTATACTAGGGGTCTGCAATCTTAAACACTCGAAGAGCTACTTGGACCTGTTTCCCAGAGAAAAGAAAACACTGGGAACCGCAAAACTTGTGTGTGCGCACACGCAAGAGGTGGGGAGCTTGATTGAAGAGTTTAATTTAAAAGAAATAGAAGCTGATGTGCATGAGTTCTCTCTCTTTCCTCCCCCTCTCCCTCCTTCCTGTCTTTCTCTCTCCCTTTCCTCTCCCCTCCCTTTCTTCCCTCTCCCTTTTTCTCTCTCCCCTCTCTCTCTCCGATCTTCTGCTCACCTGGCAAGCTGGCTTCAGACAGTTCTCCAACAAACTGACAAACATTCTTATTGGGTTGGCTCTCTCCTGCCCTTCCTGCAGAGATGCAGCCAAGGCAGGAGCCCCGCCCAATAAGCTTGTCAGTTCATCTGAGAACAGCATGAGGCCACTCTTTTTACAGAGAGAGAGAGAGAGAGAGAGAGAGAGAGAGAGAAGCACAAGTGCCTCTCTCTGTCTCTGCAAATGGCAGAGGAGGCTGGGAGTCGCAGGAAATGCTCAAAGAGCTGCATGCAGCTCCAGAGCCGCAGGTTGCTGACCCGTGTCTTATACCATTTTAGACAAACGGTTGTCCAGTTTCTTCTTAAAAGCCTCCAGTGATGAAGCACTCACAACTTCTACAGGCAAGTCATTCCACTGGTTAATTGTTCTTGCTGACAGGAAATTTCTCCTTAGGTCTAGGTTGCTTCTCTCCTTGATCGGTTTCCATCCATTGCATCCATCTTTTCATCATGTCTTTTCAGAGATCTTCATTTTTCACATGCTGCATGACCTGAAATCTGTCAGACAACTCTTTCTGACTTTATGGATTGCTCTGCATGGGTCTCATGCGCTCTTGTCTTTCATACATATCTATTCCTTATTTCAGACAAATATATTTTGTAAGCGACATGATATACATATTGGAATGAAAAACTCCAAATAAAAATACAGTGTGTATGATCACTATATAACAACACTATGATGTGAGGGGTCCTTAGTGCTCTCTGAGTTTACTTGTTTTCTTGCAGACATTTCATTACCCAAACTAGGTAACGTCATCAGTCCTGTTACAGTTACAGTACAAATATTCTCCTTTATTGGTACTATGAGGACGTACTGAGCAATTGTGCTTCTCCTCCTTTCCTAATCCTATCCACTCAGGACTCCAGGACTGTAGCATGTTAGAAAAAGACCCTGAAGGATTTCTCCTACACATTCTTGAAGTTTTCCTAATTTTACTTCAGGGTCCGCACTGATTTCCCAATATCTCTTTTCTCAGTTCATTTTTGGATATTTGTGATGCTGACACAACAGCCTCCTTCCTGATCAGGTTCATTCTCTTGAGGATCCCCTGCTTGGGACAAAAAAAAAAAAAGTAACTTATTGGAAATTTAAGGCACAAACCCACTGAGTTAAACCTCTTTTTTAATTATTATCAATGCAGGGTGATTTTCTCCTTTTCCTAGCACAGAGGAACGTGGCTGGATTAAGTAGTGACAAAAGAGATAGTAAAAAAAAAAAAAAAGCAAAAACAAACTAGACAAAGGAAGAATACCTCAAATTTTAAGAAGGGATTACAGTAGTGGCCAAAATTGTGGAAACCTTTTGGGAAAAGTGTATTTTTGAGGTTTGATGGCTAATAACACCACTTTTTCTTTTGGAGTAGTACAGTAAAATTATATATCAATGGAAAGATAATTTAATCAAGAATGTAATGCAACAAAGTTTGTTCAATTATCTGTACTGTATTCTACGAAAAGTTATAACCAAATAACCAGAAAAAAGGACAACTTGCTTAGGTTGATATCGGCTAGCTTTCCTTCATCTGATTGTAGCCAATGAGCATGAGTGTTTAGAGAGCCAATCAGGTGTCATCTTGTTTTGGCAATGAGCCAATCAGATCACAGTAGGATTCAGTTATTGATGTCATGTATTGAAGCTGAGAGGAGGACATTTGTCAGCGTGTTATGTGATGGCTATCAAGTTGGTTGGTTTTTTTTGTGTTCTTTCATTTAGTGAGCTTGTAAAATGTAATAAAATTAAAGTCATGGTGCAAAGAGTTTACTGGTTGCCCAGAAAGTGATGTAAAATAGTATTATTAAGTGAACAAGGCTACAATTATAAAGAAATTGGAAGAAAAATTGGTGGAAACTTAACCAAAAGTGGCACTTCTACTGTACACTTTTCCAAAAAGGTTTCCACAATTTTGGCCACTACTGTAAGATAGATAAAATCCAGCACTCAGAGTCAATCCCAACAGGGCTTTTTTCAAAAGACACCTGAACTTTGTTTTTTCTTGAAGACATTTTGCTTCTCATCCAAGGAGCTTTATCAGTTCTGAACTGATAAAAGATTCTTGGATGAGAAGCGAAACGTCTTCAAGGAAAAACAAAGAAAGTCCATTTGCCTTTTGAAAAAAACATCTTTGGATGACCTGGATGACTGAGACTCTCCGTAGACTCTCAGGGTCAATGTAGTTCCATGGTTCAAACACACATGGAAGGAAGACAGTGAATTTAGTATTGTTATAGATTCTTACCTTAGTGGATCCTCACGTGGGAAGTAAGGTTACTGCTCTTTTGGAAGCGTTTCCCACACTCTGTGCATTTATAGGGTTTCTCCCCAGTGTGGATCCTTTTATGAACAGTTAGGGACCCATTTTCTCGGAAGCTCTTTCCACAATCCCTGTACTTATATGGTTTCTCCCCAGTATGGATCCTTTTATGGGAAGATAGGGAACTGCTTATCCGGAATATTTTCCCACATTCCCTGCACTTATACGGCTTCTCCCGTGTGGATCCTTTTATGGGAAGTAAGGTGACTGCTCCATCTGAAACTTTTCCCACACTCCACACATTTATACGGTTTCTGCCCTCGGTGGATTCTTTTGTGAGAAATAAGGCAAGCACTCTGGGTAAAGCTCTTCCCACACTCCACACACTTATACTGCTTCTCCTTGGAGTGGATCCTTCTATGGGAAGAAAGATTGCTGCTTGTATTGAATCTCTTTCCACACTCTGGGCATTTGTAAGGTTTCTCCCCTGTGTGGATCCTTTTATGGGATGTAAGAGATCCATTTTCACGGAAGCTTTTCCCACACTCGGTGCATTTGTAGGGCTTTTCCCCCGTGTGGATTCTTCTGTGACAAGAAAGGGAACTGCTCCTCCAGAAGCATTTCTCACACTCTGTGCATTTATAGGGCTTCTCGCCCGAGTGGATCCGTTTATGGGAAGTCAGAGATCCATTTTCGCGGAAACTCTTTCCACACTCCATACATTTAAATGGTTTCTCCCCTGTGTGGATTCTTTTATGGGAAATAAGGAAACTGCTTTTTTGGAATATTTTCCCACAGTCCAGACATTTATAGGGTTTCTCTTCTGTACGGATACATTTAGGAGAAAGGAATTTTTCCTTTGAAATATTTTTCCACATTCCATACACTGACATGGTTTTTCTTCTCTGTGGATTCTTTTATGGGAAGTCAGAGACCCATTTTCACGGAAACCCTTTCCACACTCCAGACATTTATAAGGTTTCTCTCCCGAGTGGACCCTTTTGTGGGAAGTCAGGTGACTGCTATTGCTGAAGCTCTTCCCACACACCATACATTTATAGGGTTTTTCCCCTGAATGGCTCCTTTTATGTGAAATGAGATTACTGCTTTGACTAAAGCTCTTTCCACAGTCTGTACATTTGTAGGGTTTTTCTCCTGTGTGGATATTTTGGTGGGAAGTAAGAGAACTGCTTCTCCTAAATATTTTCCCACATTCTGTGCATTTATACGGTTTCTCCCCCGTGTGGATTCTCTTATGGGAAGTAAGGGATCCATTTTCCCGGAAGCTCTTTCCACACTCGTTGATTTTGTAGGGTATCACACCAGAATGGATCCTTTTATGGGAAGTCAGCTGACCACTCCACCTGAAGCTCTTTCCATACTTGGTACATTTATAGGGTTTTTCCCCTGTGTGGATCCTTTTATGAGAAAGAAGGTGACTGCTCTTGCTGAAGCTCTTCCCACAGTCCGTGCATTTATAGGGTTTCTCCCCTGTATGGATTCGTTTGTGGCATGTGAGGGAGCTGTTCTTGCTGAAACTTTTCCCACACTCCATGCATTTATACGGCTTCTCTCCCATTTTGACTCTCCAGCTCAAACTTTTTTCCTTCTCCCTGCACCCATATTGGTCTCCTCTAACGCAGGCTCCGAAGCGCATATCTAAATTTAAATGATCTTTTGGTACTTCCGCACCTTTCCCTAAACCCTTTTTTCTTAGTTTTCCTTTGGGATTTTGGTCAAGAACATCTTCATTCTGCACACACGGGAATGCTGGTTTCTTATTCCTATACATTGACTTGTTCTTCTTGGGAATTCTGGATTCTGTCCAATTTCCAAACTCCCCTTCTCCATCCTGAATCACTTCATCCCGGCCATCACTTCCTTGAGGGAAAAATAAAGAATTAGAATTAGGGAAGACTACGGAAAGGAAATAAAACCAAAGTGAGGTTATGATTATGACTTGCTTGCTGAATTTGGCAGACTCTCTTGGGTTTTTGAAAAGTTACAGTGTTGACTGGAGGCTAAGTCATATAAGGAACGGTTGCTGGAATTGGGTATGTCTAGTTTAATGAAGAGAAGGACGAGGGGGGACATGATAGCAGTGTTCCAATATCTCAGGGGCTGCCACAAAGAAGAGGGAGTCAAGCTATTCTCCAAAGCACATGAAGGCAGGACAAGAAGCAACAGATGGAAACTAATCAAGGAAAGAAGCAACCTAGAACTAAGGAGAAACTTCCTGACAGAACAATTAACCACTGGAACAACCTGCCTCCAGAAGCAGTGAATGCTCCAACACTGGAAGTTTTTAAGAAGAGGCTCAACAGACATTTGTCTGAAATGGTATAGGGTTTCCTGCCTGAGCAGGAGGTTGGACTAGATGACCTCCAAGGTCCCTTCCGACTTTATTATTACTATTACTATTATTATTATTACTATTATTATTATTATTATTATTATATAATCTGGATAAAGATTGATCAAACATGGATTTCTGATGGGGGCTATGAATAAAAACCACACCATACGGTTTCTGTTTTAAGAGCACAAAGAGACTCGAAATACTTCTGAAATAAAAGAACATGTGTGTGGCCAATATTTCAATTTATTAATTTTTCTTATCCATTCTTATCAAACTGAGCAAGGGTCAGGGGAATAAAAGAAAAACGAAGGGAAAGAAGCTTTTTAATATTTATTCCAGGATGCACAATGAGACAATGGGGGGAGGTCAAAATCAATTAAGGTCGAATTTGCTAGCTGTTCTTTTTATCACATCTTAAACCCTGTGCTAGTTGGTGTCCGTTCCCTTCTTGCTGTAACCACGTCTCTGCCAAAGTATCTCTTGGTGTGGAAAAGATGGATAAATTTTATACAATATAGGTATGATATTAGAAAATATTATTTAGCTTTTGAATAATTTATATTTAAAGTTTAAGATATTATTTAGAAGTGTAGAATAGTTTAGTTTTTTTCTCTTTTTTTCCTTTTATTATTTTTTTATTTTCTTTCTTTTCTTCTTTTTCTTTTTCTGTTTTTTTTATATATAATGGATTTAACGTATTTAATAATTTGTTCATTGAATATAATCATATTTGTTTGTGGTTTATTTGAGTTTATAAGTTTTTTCTACTAAGTTTTAGTTAACTCTGTATCTAGCTCTGGGAAGAATGGGGGAGGGTTTGGGGGAGGGTTGGGAGGGATTGGGAAAGGGGTTTTTATTGTAAAATTGTAAAAATTATAATAATAATAAAAAAAAGAAAATGAAACATCTGAAGGCTCTGAAATCTGGTCAATGTTAAACCAAGATCTGAAGAGCAGAAGAAAAAATATTTTCCTCAAAAAATGGGCACTGTGGGGAATCTGTAGCTGACAGAAGAAGCTCGAGGAAGGCCAAAATCTTGGCCGAAATGGCTGAATGTCCAACTCTACCACAATTAAAATTGCAATAAATTATTCCCAAAGAGTACCTGAAGTGTCTGGCAATAAAGCAAAAGAATGAAATCAAGTTGTGGAAATAAAAAAATCCTCCCATTTGGGCCACAATAATCTAAGACGGAGGCTGCAGTCAAGATGGGGTGAAGTGATGGGATAGGAGAATTAAGATTCCAGAGAAAAAGAGAGGAGTGGAAGGAAAATAGGAATTAAATTGGATAAGCTGCTGGAAAACACAAGAGGTCTACAAATTTCACCTCAGACTGGAAAAGTTACCTCAGAAAATTCATAATCGTGGGAAAGGAAGGTTGACGAGACCCTTCTTTGGGAGTGAACTGAGAGAAAAAGTGGGATTGTTTTAAAAAAAAAGCACGGACAGAAAATGCAATGGCAGCCAAGAACTGGAACACGAATGAAAAAAATCTCATTTCATTAAACCGAGTATGAAAAAAAATCTGTTTTATTGGGGATAAAATAGATGACTATTGAGAATTCTCCCCAAAAATATGAATAGCAAACAAAGAGGCTGAAAAATTTCAAACATCCCAAATAGCTTGAGGTTATGAAAGAAAAGAAATGCCTCAGAGAAAAATAAAATAGAATTTTTGTCCTAAGAGAATCAAGATGGAAAACAGGAATCCAGAACTATTTGAAGAGGCTCATTGGCATGTGAGGATAAAAAGAGAAAAAAAGATTTATTTATGATTTGAAGCAGAAAAAAAATGGAGAAGTGGGGGGGAATCCTCCATTTCAAAAAATAACAAATTTGTTTTATTCTTTTGTCATAGTTGTGGAATTATCTTCAGGTAAATTTTTTAAACTATTGGAAAGTCTTTTAATTTTGTTTATGTCTTTAAAACATTACAATCTTGCTCACTTTTGTGTTATTGCCAAATCTGATATATACCATGTCTTTTATAAATCATTTTAATGCCAGGCCTAGCAGAAGTGTCTACATGTATAGCTGTGGTAACACAGTGGTTAGAATGCAGTACTGCAGGCTATTTCTGCCGACTGCCGGCTGCCTGCAATTTGGCAGTTCGATCCTGACCAGCTCAAGGTTGACTCAGCCTTCCATCCTTCTGAGGTTGGTAAAATGAGGACCCAGATTGTTGGGGGCAATATGCTGACTTTACAAACTGCTTAGAGAGGGCTGTAAAGCACTGTGAAGCAGTAGATAAGTCTAAGTGCTGTTGTTATAAGAAAAAAGTCAAGATGGCAGTTGCAATGGCATGATAAAAGTTCCACTGGTGAGACATATAAAATGCAAGTGAAACTTCAAGCGTGCCATCATTGCTTCCATCTTGCCTTTTTTTTAAACTGTGAAGACACTAGGAGTTAAAAAGAAAATCTTTCTGCTCAAGTGAGGCTCCTTCTCCTTCCCCAGAGCCCCGTTCCTCCAACTCTGCCAGGAGAAAACTCTGGACGGGGGCCATGGGGACCGTGATAGGGCTGATCTTCCTTGCTGTGGGGTTCTCCTTCTACCTGAAGAAGAGGGAAGGTGAGTCTATGGGGCTGGATAAGAGGGAAGGGGACCAGAGGAGGCATCAATGCCGATGCCCCCTGAGAAATTTATTTATTTGGGAATCTTTTTCCCCTCGGGCTATACGGAAATATCATGCAATCTATTCTGGTATTTGGAAGGAAGTCTGACCACCACCCCCCTCAGTTATTCAGTTCATTCATAGCTCTGATTGCATCTTATTCTCTTTTCAGCAATTCCCATCCAACCGCCTGCAGGTGAGCATCTTCTATTCCCCACCTCCATTAATTAATAAGCTTTTCTAATTGTCTCTTCTGGTGTCCTGGAATTGCAAAAGGGAAGGGAGGAAGGGAAGGAGGAGGGCCATTCCAGTCACTGAGGGGAAGTTTGCAGGCTGCTCTTATTAATCACCCCTCCTATTGACGTTTCACACAAGTTCTGGCAAAAGGTCACCAGGCTCCCTCCTTTCCTGCCACCTCCACTGTAACACCATATTCTTTGTTAATATGAAACATCTGTAGGGAAAGAGGGAGGGAGGCCTCTTCTCTTGATAAACCCCCTAATTATGTCAATTAGAAATAATTCCCTCTTGTCAAGGGCCATCTGCAGCCCCTTGGCTGGACTCGGACCCCCTTAAAATTCCAGGAGATGAGATGGGGAGGGATCCCTGATCCCACCCAGCTTGTTCCTCCCTGAAAGGGGCGGAGCATCCCTCCATCCAGTCCCTCATCAACCACCCCCCTACCATGTGGGTCTGTCTGGGGGTAGGGTGAAAGGGAAGGGGACAGGAAGCCCACCCATGTTTTTCCTGCAGACTCTCCCAAAAGAACTAATTTACACTAAAGGTTTTACTATATATTCTAATTTTCTTTCCCCCCCCCCCCAGGGCTCATGAGTTAATCCTGCTATCAGGAAAAGGATATTCTTTTCAGTAGCTGATAAATTTCTGTCTTGTTTTGAATATCTCCCTTTTTTTGCAACCCTTGAAAAATGGAGGTTCAAGATGGTTGGTTGTAGAGAGGAGCCCAGATATTCTCTTGCTGAGACCCACCGGCTCCCTTCCAGGACCTCTCTTTTGAGGCAGGCGACACGGGATGGGAGTTAAGACCATCTAGTCTGCCCTCCAGCAATTCTTGGCCTGCCTGTCACTCCGGACCTCCAATATCTCTTGCTCAGCACAGACCCCCATTCAGAGCAGTGGCGACAACCATCCATCTTTCAATCCCTTCACCGGAAATTCATCTAGCTCTTAGCCAAGCCTGGAGGCCACCAGATCCACGGAGGATCCCAGATGCTTTGCCTGCTGAGATCTTACATTCCTGAGATGTGATCTCAGGGATCAAGAGCTCTCTGCCCAGCAGAACCCCAACTGCTTTCTTTCTCTTCCTTGTGTTCCCCTCATTTCTATAACTTTAAGATAAAATAACCTTGTCATTTTTTTACTGTGGGAACAACGGCACACATCTAAAATGAAATTTAGTTGCCTGCTCTCAAAGGGAAACACATACATGAGACACACCTAAACATACTATGTACAACATATGTATAGACTCACACCCCTCCATATACATAACAAATAAATATTAAACACTATCTTGAATATATAATGGAAGGAGGAAGCTTGAGAGTTCACAAGGTTAGTGCTGAATGGAATGAAACTATGGCTGAATCTGGATGTTCTGCTACAGATACCACGAAACCTACTCCCAGAAGGTAACAAGGAAAACAGGTCGTGAAGAGGATGTGTAGTGTCCCAGATAATCTTAGGACCCTGCTCAAGCAGCGCTTCTGTGCTATGTCCTGGATGGGAGGGAGGGAGCTGCCAATGAATTTTTCAGCCGTCCTCACCACTCTCTGTTCCTCCTTCCTGTCTGAAGCAGTGATGCTTCCAAACCAGACTGTGATGCTGTATGACAGGATGCTCTCGATCATCCTCCTGTAGAAGGTGGTCAGGACAGAGGAAGGAAGATGTGCTTTTCTCATGCAACGCAGAAAATGCAGGTGCTGGTGTGCCCGCTATGCCACTCGACCTTCACTTTACAAAGTAAAGTTACACAGTTTCGGCATGGTCGAAAGTGAAACCAAGTCTGAATTTCCCACTAAAAATTACCCAGTTGCAAAGTATCAGGTCCCACCCTCAAAACTATGCAATCTACTATGTTCCCCAATAAATGCATTTGGCGGGCTTTCTTATACAACGCCCAGTCAATGGTCTCGAGAGCAATAGATGACTTTGGTCCCCATGGGACAGAAGATTTTGACTAGGGAAGCACCTGGACAAGCCCTCTGTTCTAAGTGGCAATCTAAAAATGAGGGAAAATGGCTGCAGCCAGGCTCATTTGTAGAGTTGACAGGTATGCTTTTGCATTCCTAGAAAGGGGGGAGGGGAGTTTAACCACAGAATGCTCTCTCTTTTATGGTCTAATATGTCTTTAAAAGTATTGACCACCAGCTGTTAGATGAAGCTGCAAAGTTCACAACAGGATTCAGTAGAGTATATGCAGAAAAGGTAAAAAAAAAAACCCCTTTTTTAAACAAATGGTCTGTTGGTATGCAGATCAAATTAATACAAATTGTGTTTACTGCCTTGACTTACAGAGCAAATAAGCCACAGGTCCCCAGCCTATGGGGCACCAGGGACCGGTTATCCGGAGAGACGTTTTTCCACGGACCAGAGGGGACGTGGTTTTGTGTGCTGCCTTCATCCTGCGGATGGGGCTTTGCTTGTTTGTGCGGACTGGTTGCCGGCATGCCGTGGACCAAGACCGGTCCATGGACCGGGGGTTGGGGACCCCTGACATAGGCCATAGGGAGAAGATTGAAATGGTAATATTCACAAATCTTAAATCCCTTCCTTTCAGATGTTCCAGTCAACGCATGCCTATTATCCCACAAGTAGCTTGAAAGAGGGACAGTGACCTTGAATTATTTAATCTGGATTTTTGCCATTGTTTAAGAGTCCAACATGCCTTGCTGGATTTAAGGAGGCAGTTAAAAAGATTTAATAAATAAGATCAACTTGAAATTGTATGAAAATTATAACCTGTGAAACCATTTATGATTTTATAGTTTTCATAAACATATGTATTTATAGACTGCATATGATTCAAAGAGAAAACCAATAAAGTGTCAATATAACACCAGGTAAAACTTGGAGGCTGAAAAGAGTGGATATCTGTAGAGATTGTTTTTTAAAATTCTTTGCTCTCCTAGGACTTACAAGTTTTTTCTCCCATCAGTTCTGTTTCCAAAATGTATTTTAGCTTCTTCTCTTTGTTGCTTCTTCCCTATGCAGAAAATTCTCTTATCCATGTTGCTTTATCAATAGTCCAACTAATAAACATTTCTCCATAGCACAGACAATTATCCTTCTTGTGAAATCATTTTATGCAAAGCAAGTCATGACTCTCTTTGAAACCCCTTCACTGCTTCACACATTTATATTATTTCTCTCCTGTATGGAGCTTTTTATGGGAAATTAGGTTATCACTCTTGCTGAAGCTCTTTCCACACTCCAAACATTTATATGCTCGCTCCTCAGTATGAAGCCTTTTATGGGAAGTAAGACTACTGCAGTGACTGAACTCTTTGCCACACTCTGTACATTTATAGGGTCGTTCTCCTGTGTGGATCCTTTTATGGGAAGTAAGATTACTGCTTTTGCTGAAGCTCTTTCCACACTCCGAACATTTATATGGTTTTTCCCCCGTGTGGAGCCTGTTATGGAAAACAAGGCTGCTGCTCTGTTTGAAACTCTTTCCACACTCCGTGCATTTGTATGGTTCCTCTCCAGTGTGGATCCGTTTATGGTAAGTAAGAGAACTGCTCTGGCTGAAGCTTTTGCCACATTCCATACATTTATATGGTTTCTCCCCAGTATGGATCCTTTTATGGGAAGTAAGGGAACTGCTCTGCCTGAAACACTTCCCGCATTCAGTGCACTGATATGGTTGCTCTCCAGTGTGGACTGTTTTATGTAAAGCAAGGGAACAGCTGTGCCTGAAGTTCTTTCCGCACACCATGCATTTATATGGTTTCTCTCCTGTGTGGAGCTTTTTATGGGAAATGAGGTTACTACTCTTCCTGAAGCTCTTTCCACACTCCAAACATTTATATGGTTTTTCCCCCGTGTGGAGCCTTTTATGGAAAACAAGGCTGCTGCTCTGTTTGAAACTCTTTCCACACTCCATGCATTTGTATGGTTCCTCTCCAGTGTGGATCCTTTTATGGTAAGTAAGAGAACAGCTCTGGCTGAAGCTTTTGCCACATTCCATACATTTATATGGTTTCTCTCCTGTATGGATCCTTTTATGGGAAGTAAGGGAACTGCTCTGTCTGAAACACTTCCCGCATTCAGTGCATTGATAGGGTTGCTTTCCAGTGTGGACTGTTTTATGTAAAGCAAGGGAACTGTTGTGGCTGAAGCTCTTTCCACACTCCATGCATTTATATGGTTTCTCTCCTGTATGAATTATTTTATGTGACGTAAGCTGAGCTATCCATCTGAAACTCTTTCCACACTCTGAACATTTGTATGGTCGCTCCACAGTATGAAGCCTTTTATGGGAAGTAAGACTAATGCGCTGACTGAAAACTTTGTCACATTTTGTACATTTATAGGATCGTTCTGCGTGGAGTCTTTTATGGGAAATAAGAAAACTCCTCTGGCTGAAGCTCTTTCCACACTCCATGCATTTATATGGTTTCTCTCCTGTATGAATTCTTTTATGTGAAGTAAACTGAGCTCTCCATCTGAAACTCTTTCCGCACTCTGTACATTTATATGGTTTCTCTCCAGTATGGATCCTTTTATGGGAAATAAGGCTACCAGTATGGTTGAAGCTCTTTCCACACTCCATGCATTTATAGGGTTTCTCTCCTGTGTGAAGTCTTTTATGCAAAGTAAGTTCACCTCTCCATTTGAAACACTCTCCACATGCCATGCATTTATACAATCTCTCATCTGTATGGACCCTTTTATGTGAAGTAAGCTGACCTGTCCATTTGAAACTCTTTCCACATTCCAAGCATTTATATGGTTCCTCTCCTGTGTGGAGTCTTTTATGGGAAGTAAGAGAACCTCTCTGGCTGAAGCTTTTGCCACATTCCGTACATTTATATGGTTTTTCCCCTGAATGGATCCTTTGGTGTGAAGTGAGGTTACCACTGTTCTTAAAGCTCTTTCCACACTCTGTACATTTATATGGTTTCTCTCCCGAGTGGAGTGTTTTGTGGGAAAAAAGGGAACTACTTTCTTTAAAGCTCTTCCCACACTCTGTGCACTGATATGGTTTGTCTTCTGTGTGAAGCTCCTTATGGGCTGTCAGTTGATCGATCTGTTTCAAACTCCTTCCATACTCAGTACACTTATGTGGTCTTTCTCCTGTATGGAACAATTTATGGGAAGTCAGATAACTGGGATCACTGAACTCTTTTCCACACTGAATATCTTCATAGGTTTTCTCTCCAGTGTAGATTTCGTGACATAAGGTAGGAGGGAAAATTTGATTGAAAAATGTTTCATTTTTTGTCTGTTCATTTTGGTTGTGTCTAGTCTCAGTTTCAAACTGATTATAGAAATCTAACTTATCCTTAGTCTTATGCAGTAGACAGTTCCCAGTTCTATTTTCTGTGTGATCATCTTGTGTTAACACCTCAGGGACGTCAACATACTTAAAGAGGTTTTCTTTGTGTATTTTTGTTTGCCAGTGACTTTGAAATATCTCTTTTGTCATTTCATGCTTAATAGTTTCTGATGTCACCATCTGTGGGTCTGGATAATTGTCATTTTCTGACTTATTTCCAGCTAGGGAGAAAGGAAGAAAGTGATACTGAGTGAGAGAAATATACTATATTAGACCTTTAACATGATATCTGGGCATGCACCGAGGATCAACTCTCATTACCTAATGAGTTAGTTCTAATGCGAATGAATTGGCTTCTCCAAGATTATCTATCTATCTCTCTGTATATTTTATTGACACCATGTCTGGGAAGAGGCCAAGGGAACTTTTTATAATTTGGGTCTTGGCAATACTGTCAGTCAGTCAAATGGTGCTCATTCACCTCAGGGAAAAAAGGAAGGACAATTTTAGCACCATCCTGGGACTTTCCAGAATTGTTAAAAACTTGAGCGGAGAACTTACTCAGAGAAGTCAGGTTTTTAGAATTCTCCCACATGACTTCTCCATGGAGAGCCCTTTGGGTGGAATCCAGCACAGCCCATTCGTCCTCTGAGAAATACACCGCCACCTCCTGGAAGGATATAGGAGCCTGAAAAAAGAAAATGTTCATCATTACTAGATAAGCTCCTGAAAAATTTTCACAATTTCACTTTGAAAGCCTGAAGCCTTTCCTGGGTAGTGTAAATCTTGTCAAGCCCTCAGAGTGTTGTTGTTACCAAAAGTAACCATCATTGATTTTAAAAAAGGAAATGGATTTTTAGCCAAATCAAAGTTACCAAAAGAAGCTATTATTTACAGTTTTTCATTGCCTTCGCATCTGAAATCAGGGAAAAGAGTTTTTCTCTCATTCCTAAGTCTTGTAAGTCCTGAGATAATTTTTGTTCCTCAACCATCACAGAGGAACTAAGGATTTCTGGCTTTGGTGCCGAGGAAGTGACAATGGGGGAAACAGCTTCTTGGGGAATCCTTCCTTTCTGGGGGATCAAATCAAAAGGTTTTTTCAGAGGTTTTTTTTTTAATTACAAAAAATCAGCAATAGACAAAAAGCCCTGGAATCTTGGACTGGGCTTTGTATTTCTCTTCAGTGGCTAGACAGAAACTATTATTTTATACAAGGAAAGATTTTAAATAAAAAAGTGAATTGTAAATGATAAACTAGTTCAGAAATTAATCTGGAATGTAGACTGGACTGGACTAGACAAGACTAGACTAGATTAGACTAGATTAGACTAGAATATAGACTAGACTAGACTAGACTAGACTAGACTAGACTAGACTAGAATCTGGAGGGGACTTTGGAGGTCTTCTAGTCCAGCCCCCACTCAAGCAGAAGAACCTATACCATTTCAGACAAATGGTTGTCCAATCTCTTCTTAAAAACTTCCAGTATTGAAGCATTCACAATTTCTGGAGACAAGTTGTTCCACTGATTAATTGTTCTAACTTTATAATATAAACTTCATAATATAACCGTTTTCTATTTTAACTTTTTCTACAAGCTTTTTTTCAACCCCATATTCCATAAAGTCCAAATTCACCATATCTGTATATATATCTGTTTATGGCCGGCTTTTATATTTCTGTTGGCTTAATCTCTCAATGGTCACTATTCATACAGTGAAATTGAGTCGCTTGAACATGAGATGGACAACGTATAAATTTAATCAATAAAATAAACTCCTTTTGTCAGAGTTCCATCTCCATTTTGTGGGGTTTTTTTTTTTTTTTTTTGGTGGTGGTAGTTTCTGTTTTCTATTTCTGTTTAGTCCAAGTCTCTAAACTTTCTCCATCTTTCGTACAGGTTTCTTCCTGGGTTTCTTCTCTGAGGGAAACTTTCCCCTCAGGCCAGTTCTGAGGGAAGCCAAAATAGCGCCTCTCTCTTCTCAGTTTCCTCAGCTGCTGCCTCCTTTCCTGAATTTAATTTAATTTAAATTTAAACTTCACTGTTTCTTTGGCTCTGTTCGTTCACGCATAGGTATCTTCAAGGATGAGGTTATAGAACTTTTCAAGCCTCCTCTGCCTGCCTGCCTAGTGCTGCTGTCTGATTGGCCACTGCTGCTTTATTGGCAGCTGGGTTGTCGTAAGGAGGGTAGCCTTCCTTAGGGAGAGCCTTTGATTCGGAGGCTTTTAAATCCTGAGGTAATTTTTGCTCCTCAACCATCACAGAGAGAAGAACTTCCAGCTGTTCAGCACCAAAGGGAGGAAGGGTCTTCCTGCTTCAAATCTCTCATGTGGGGACTTATATTTCTGAGGCAACAGGGTAGAGACCAGGAAACCCTGAGTTCTTATTCTGCCTTAGCCAAAAGAAAGGAAGGAAGGAAGGAAGGAAGGAAGGAAGGAAGGAAGAAAGAAAGAAAGAAAGAAAGAAAGAAAGAAAGAAAGAAAGAAAGAAAGAAAGAAAGAAAGAAAGAAAGAAAGACTAGAAGGACTAGGGGTGATTATTTTTGGAGAGAAAACTCACCCCATTTGTCCTGAGCAAATTAATATGCAGGAGGCCTCCCAAGTAGAAGTCTTACACTTATTGTTGCTTATCCTACCTGGGCTGAAGGCACAGTTGTTCTTTCTGCTCCATCTGGAAAAGAAGACCTTTTAACAAGGACCACCGAAGTCATATCAATCCCTAAGACAGAGACAAAGTGGGTGGAAGGAGACTTTTAAAAAATAGGGGTAATGATTTTTAGGTTGACAAGAGACACCAGTATATTACAGTCACAACTAAAACAGATCCTGTAAAACTGAAGATGGTATAACTTGGATAGCTTCAATATTACCTGGTGAGATCTCCTGAGTTTGATCTTTAGAATTCCCCTTGCAAAGCATCTTCTGGGAGGGATCTGATAGATCTACAGTTGCCTTGAGACCTTGTACATCTACCTTATTAGAACTTCTCTGCATATGAAGAACAGAGAGGAAGAAAGAAATAATTAAGGCAGAACAATGTGGATGTTTCTCACCTAGGGATGCATTTGGAGAAGTCAAAGAGAAATCTAACATAGAATTAAGGAGAAATTTCCTGACAGGACAATTAATCAATGGAATAGCTTGCCTCCAGAAGTTGTGGGTGCTCCATAACTAGAGATTTTTAAGAAGAAACTGGACAACCATTTGTCCAGAATGGTATAGGGTCTCCTGTTTGAACAGGAGGTTGGACTAGAAGATCTCTAAGGTCCTAACTCTGTTACACTGTTATTGTTTCTCTCACCTGCTTCTCTTTGTCCTCTGCCTGGCTCAGGAGGAAGCCTTCTGCCAGGGCCACTGCCTGGGAAGTGGTCTCTGCTCCACACTCCCATAACCAATTGGCCATCTCTGGGGGAAGAACAGCCAGGAACTGCTTCAGAACCAGCATGTCTAGCATCTGAGCTTTGGTGTTTATTTCTGGCTTTAGCCATTGAAAGCAAAGGCGGTGGAGATGGCTGCAAACTTCTCGGGGTCCCTTAAACATCTGGTAGAACTCCCCAAGATTTTGGTGATGGGCATCCCAAGGAAGGATATTTTCTACCAAGATCTTTTGCCTGATGCTCTGCCCCGATTCCTCCTGGCTCTCCACCTGAGCAAGATGAAGGACTTTTCTGGTTGGGTCTTCTGCCTCCATTTTCTCCTGGATCTCCAGAACTACTGGTACTGGAGAAACAGTATCTGTGGAAAAAGTTGAGAATTTCCTAATAGCCCCCTTTTGCGAGATAGAATAACAACTTTATTGTCACTTTGAATGTACAGTAATCGGCATACCTTAATATGAAATTTCGTTGCATACAGCTCTCAAAGGGTCACCATGTCCAATATACACTATATATATATGACATGAATAAATAAATAAATACAGAATTATGCATATACCCACATATATTTTATGACACAGAGAAACAATAGTCTAGTTTGGGTTATGTATACATGTGCATGGCGAGAAAAAGAAATCTTGCGAGTTTACCAGATGGATGGCATAGGGAACAAAGCTATTACAGAAACCGGTAGTACTGCTAGAAATACTTCAAAACCTCCTCCCAGAGGGGAGCAACAGAAACAGACCGTGAAGTGGGTGTGCGGGGTCTGTAACAATGCTTTGAGCTCTAAGCACGTAGTGCTTGTAAGCAGCATTCTGAATACCAGGAAGCGATGAAGAGATGATGGAACCTCTTCTTTCTTTTCTCCAACCACCCCAAAAAAGGCCTTCTTGGTCTGCCTTCTTAGCCCTCTGTAAGGCCTGGGTAGATGGGCCCCCAGCCTCAAGTCAAAGAAGGCTCTAATGTGGGGGGCCTCTTCCAGGAATGGAAACTTCTTCCGGCTACTCAAAGCCATAAAATTTCAATTCCCTAAAGCCAGGAAGATTCACCCACAGTGAAAAACTCTTGCAGCTCTCTTCAAGACCCTCTCCCAGAATTGCAACTGAAAGTTCTTTTCCTCACAAAGAATGAGACGGGGGGGGAGGGGGGAGTTTTTCCAAGGGAGGGGAGATGCTTTGCCTTGACACAATGCAGATCCCAAAGGCGTATTTCCAGACCAACCTCTAGGAAGATTTGGATTTGTTCTGCTTTGCTTTGCTCTTTCAGAGGAGATGCAACCCAGAATCATCCTTTCCCTCTTCCGGTGCTCCATTCCAGGAAAAAAAATTTGCAGCCTTCCTATTCATGAAGGAGGCTCCATCTATGGGTTAATGTGAGAAAGTATAGTACCCTAGAGAGGCAAGATTCTCTTCCTGCTCTCCAGTTTCAACTTCCCCTTTGTCCCCCTCCATCATCAGTCCAGCTTCTCTGCGCAGCAGCTCCTGAAAGCTTCCGTCTATTAAGGTGACCAACCGTCCTCCTTTAGGGAGGACAGTCCTCCTTTTGTAAGTTCTGTCCTCCCTCAAAAAGTGTCCTCCTACATGTCCTCCTTTTCGTTATTTAAAGACTAATCTGCAGGGCTTATTTTTTTCTCATAGAATGCTCAGAACGGCATTCCGGCACCTTTTTTTAATGTTTTTTTTTTCAACTTTTGCCTGAGTTGTGCTACTCCCACTACTGGCTTTCGAAAGCCAATAGGAATTGCTGCTGAGCATGGCAAAACACTCGGCTGGCAAACTTTGCACATGCAAGTTGTCTGTATTATTGTTGCAATGAATAAAATGTTTCTTTTATTTATGATATTTTTTTCTTCAATTTATTTGTGTCTTCCTTTTCATTGTAAAAAAGTTGGTCACCTTACTCTTTTAATAAAATGTTTTAGAACTGGTTGCAAACAAACTCGATTTTTATCCCTTGTCCTTGTGACTCCACATCTGTCTCACTTATCCAGCACCTCTTTGACTCCCCTTGAAAGTGCCTCTTGCACAATTCCTGCGCAGCCTGCTAGACACTGGATCCCTTGGAGAGCATAGGGAGGTAATCCAAGAAAATCTTTGTTAAATTTAAATGTACCGACAAAGAGTTAAAGGGAGACTAGTATAGCTATTTCAAGCTTTTTGGTTCTCATCAGCTAGCTAGCCATACCCTTCTAAGATTCAAAAAAGCTCGAAATATCTGTACCAATCTCTCTTTAATTCTTTGTCGGTAAATTTAAATGTAACACAGAAATAGTTGGTCGCAGAAGCAACGGCCTGTGAAGGCTCCTAGATTTGCATATAGTACCATAGGTACTGAAGAACTCTTGATTTGTTAATACTTTTTTTTTCTGGAGCACTCAGGAATAAGGCAAAAATCCATCTTGCAATCAACAAAACTCACCAAATTCAGCAATCACCAAATGAGTTGCTTATAGTTGGGGATTTCCTGGACGTTGTTCATACGAAGCTACCCAGAGTCACTTGATAGTGAGGTGGGTAGCACATAAACTGAATAAATAAAAATAAGTAAATAAAATAAATACTATCCTAATCCAACTCTGCTTCGCTCTTTTGACATCAACTAAGCTTGACCTTGGGGCTAAAGCCAAGCTGAGATTCGGCCTTTAAACGGAGTCTTCCATTCTCCTCATACAGTACCATGCTCTGCTTCATTTGTATAAGAACATAACCACCAAGGTTGCTTAAGGCAGTCGGAGGGTGTTGCTCCTTGTGCAAAGCCCAATGCCCGGTTGGTGGCGGGTTAACAGTGGATCTCTTCTCCCCAATAGTCTAAGAACAAAACCAACCCAAACCCATCCATATCCACCTTGTCTGAGATGGTATAGGTTCTTCTGCTTAATCAGGGGGCTGGACTAGAAGACCACCTAGGTCCCTTCCAGCTCTATTCTATTCTACATCAAGGTACAAAGACCAAGTCACCCATGGAGTCAGAGTCTTCCATGGGGACATCCAGTAGGATCCCTCCAAGCTACCAACTTACGGTTCGAAAAATCTTTTGCATTGACCATTGACACCCCAGCTCTCTAATTCCTGCAACCTTTCTTCATATTTTTTTTTGTCTCTAGGCCATTAATCATCTTAATTGCTCATAACCTCATCCATATGGAGGTTATGCCTTTGAGCCTGGCAAAGTGGAAGCTTCTCTCCAAGATTAGTTTCCATCCATTGTTTCTTCTCCTGCCTTCTGGTGCTTTGGAAAATAAGTTGACCCCCTCTTCTTTGTGGCAGCCCCTTAAATACTGGGATGCTGCTATCATGTCTCCCCTACTCCTTTTCTCTAGGCTGACCCAATTCCTGCAATCATTCTTCATATATTTTTGTCTCCAGACCTTTAATCATGCTATTTCATTTATTTATTTCATTTTATCTCCACAATGAGTTCTAATTCGTTCCTGTAAGGATCCTTTATGAGGAAAATAAGATTCACAAACATTCATCAAGTGACACATTTCTAATTTCACCCATAAGAACTTTTTCTATACAGGTAATCCTCAACTTACAACAGTTCATTTAGTGACCATTCAGTTACAATGACACTGAAAAAAGTGACTTATGACCATTATGGAATTCCCATGGTCATACGGTCAAAATCCAGATGCTTGGCAATTGACTCATATTTATGACGGTTGCAGCATCCCGGGATCATGTGATCATCTTTTGCGACCTTCTGACAAGCAAAGTCAATGGGGAAACTAAATTCACTTAATAAGCATGTTACTAAATTAACAACTGCAGTGATTCACTTAACAAATGTGGCAAGAAAGGTCGTAAAATGGAGCAAAATTCATTTCACAAATGTCTCCCTAAGCAACAGAAATGTTGGGTTCTGTTGTGGTTGTAACTAGAGGACTATCTGTATTCCATTTACAGTATATAGAATACATATTGTGAATATGCTTACATGTTATGAGCTCACTACTCATCCTAAAACTCTTATATCCATCAATTACCCTTCTTGTGCAATCATTTTATGCAAAGCAAGTCATGACTCTGAAACTCTGTCATTGCTTCACACATTTATATTATTTCTCTCCTGTATGGAGCTTTTTATGGGAAATTAGGTTACCACTCTTGCTGAAGCTCTTTCCACACTCCAAACATTTATGTGGTTGCTCCACAGTATGAAGCCTTTTATGGGAAGTAAGACTACTGCAATGACTGAACTCTTTGCCACACTCTGTACATTTATAGGGTCGTTCTCCTGTGTGGATCCTTTTATGGGAAGTAAGATTACTGCTTTTGCTGAAGCTCTTTCCACACTCCGAACATTTATATGGTTTTTCCCCCATGTGGAGCCTGTTATGGAAAACAAGGCTGCTGCTCTGTTTGAAACTCTTTCCGCATTCCATGCATTTGTATGGTTCCTCTCCAGTGTGGATCCTTTTATGGTAAGTAAGAGAATTGCTCTGGCTGAAGCTTTTGCCACATTCCGTACATTTATATGGTTTCTCTCCTGTATGGATCCTTTTATGGGAAGTAAGTTTACTGCTCTGTTTGAAACACTTCCCGCATTCAGTGCATTGATAGGGTTGCTCTCCAGTGTGGACTGTTTTATGTAAAGCAAGAGAACTGTTGTGGCTGAAGCTCTTTCCGCACTCCATGCATTTATATGGTTTCTCTCCTGTATGAATTATTTTATGTGAAGTAAGCTGAGCTCTCCATTTGAAACTCTTTCCACACTCCAAACATTTATATGGTTCCTCTCCTGTGTGGAGTCTTTTATGGGAAGTGAGATCACTAATCTGCTTAAAACTTTTTCCACAATCCATACATTTATAAGGTTTTTCCCCTGAATGGATTTTTCTGTGGCAAATAAGGATACCGGTACGCTTGAAGCTCTTTCCACAATCCATGCATTTATAAGGTTTTTCCCCTGAATGGATTTTTCTGTGGGAAATAAGGGTACCAGTATGGTTGAAGCTCTTTCCACAATCCATGCATTTATATGGTTTCTCTCCTGTGTGAAGTCTTTTATGCAAAGTAAATTCACCTCTCCATTTGAAGCACTCTCCACATGCCATGCATTTGTACAATCTCTCTTCTGTATGAAACATTTTATGTGAAGTAAGCTGACCTCTCCATTTGAAACTCTTTCCACACTCCAAGCATTTATATGGTTCCTCTCCTGTGTGAAGTCTTTTATGGGAAGTAAGAGAACCGCTCTGCCTGAAGTTTTTGCCACATTCCATACATTTATATGGTTTTTCCCCTGAATGGATCCTTCGGTGTGAAGTGAGGTTACCACTGTTCTTAAAGCTCTTTCCGCACTCGGTGCACTGATATACTTTATCTTCTGTGTGAAGCTTCTTATGGGCTGTCAGTTGACCAATCTGTTTGAAACTCTTTTCACACTTGGTACACTTATGTGGTCTTTCTCCTGTATGGATCAATTTATGGGAAATCAGATAACTGGGATCACTGAACTCTTTTCCACACTGAATATCCTTATAGGTTTTTTCTCCAGTGTGAATTTCTTGACATAAAGTAGGAGGGAAATTTTGATTGAAAAATGTTTCATCTTTTGTCTGTTCATTTTGGTTGTGTCTGGTCTCAGTTTCAAACTGATTATATAAATCTAACCTATCCTTAGTCTTATGCAGTAGACAGTTCCCAGTTCTATTTTCTGTGTGATCATCTTGTGTTAACACCTCAGGGACGTCAACATACTTAAAGAGGTTTTCTTTGTGTATTTTTGTTTGCCAGTGAAATATCTCTTTTGTCATTTCATGCTTAATAGTTTCTGATGTCACCATCTGTGGGTCTGGATAATTGTCATTTTCTGACTTATTTCCAGCTAAGGAGAAAGGAAGAAAGTGAGACCGAGTGAGAGAAATATACTATATTAGACCTTTAACATGATACCTGGGCATGCACCGAGGATCAACTCTCATTACCTAATGAGTTAGTTCTAATGCGAATGAATTGGCTTCTCCAAGATTACCTCTCTCTCTGTATATTTTATTGAAACTTTAATTACACTTTTTCTTACATTCCTGTCAGAATTCATTTCTTTGAGAGTGTTTTCCACTGTGTTAATAAGATTCAGATTATTACTTTTCCTTCTTAGGAAACAAAGATTAAAATTAAATAACAAGAAACATCTGCCAGCTACTCTGTCTTATTCTTTATTTAGATGTTCTCAACTCAAGACCTCCTAGGGGTGGGAAAGAATTCCTGCATTACAACTTTTCCAGCCAACTGCAAAGCAAAAAATGAACATCCATTCTCAAATTAAAAGCTGCCCTCCACACTTCTGGCCAGGTAGCATTATGAAATGGCAGCTAACCAATCTCCAGTTCAGAAAGACAACCTCCTTCTAGGGATGCAATATCCTCATGTCCCTCCCTGAAGGAAATGATTCTATGTTTTGAGAAGGACTCCAAAAGAGCTGATTTTTCTGTAGAGGTGGTGCCACAACAAACTTCTCTACCTTTGGCCAAGCTCCAGGAATGTGTGGGTATATAACTGACAGAAAGCAGACAACCGTCATCAGACATGAGATGAACTTTTATCATTTTGGTGACAAAACTGACATCTGAAAAGAGGATTCTTATAAAATGTAGGGAGACCTAGGGTTTAGGAGTTCCTTTTCTTTTTATTATCAAGGTCTAGGACAGTGGTTCTCAACCTTTCTAATGCCGCGACCCCATAATACAGTTCCCCATGTTGTGGTGACCCCCAACCACTTATACATCAGCGGGTGCCAGGGGCGTGGCCAACGAAAAGGGGAAAAAAATGGCGGACAGCCTTGTTTGGCGACCCCCGTGAAATGGTCGTTCGACCCCAAATGGGGTCCTGACCCACAGGTTGAGAACCACTGGTCTAGGACCTATAAAAATAAACTTGGGGGACCACATGCAGTTCTGAGTCCACAAGCAGCCCTCCCTTTTTTAGTCAATGGATCGGTCTAATCACAATGACATTGTCACAAATGAAAAACTCATCCAAGAGATCCTCAAATGCAGAACATGAAATGGTTTTAGCAGGGATTTGCTATTTATTTACCCTTCTTGGATCTGCAGAAGAACAGATCTTTTTCCCTCCAGAAGGTAGGCTCTAGTTTGGCTGCTTCATGGAAGAAACAGATAAGACTGTTACTTCTAAGTATGAAATATCTTTTTCGGCTCTTTGAATTCAGAGCAGAACCAGACCAAATAAAAGCAAGCAAATTCCAGGTACATTTCTGGGAAGAGGGCAAGGGAACTTTTTATAATTTGGGTCTTGGCAATACTGTCAGTCGGTCAAATGGTGCTCATTCACCTCAGGGAAAAAAGGAAGGACAATTTTAGCACCATTCTGGGACTTTCCAGAATTTTTAAAAACTTGAGCGGAGAACTTACTCAGAGAAGTCAGGTTTTTAGAATTCTCCCACATGACTTCTCCATGGAGAGCCCTTTGGGTGGAATCCAGCACAGCCCATTCGTCCTCTGAGAAATACACCGCCACCTCCTGGAAGGATATAGGAGCCTGAAAAAAGAAAATATTCATCATTATTAGATAAGTTCCTGAAAATTTTTCACAAATTCACTTTCAAAGCCTGAAGCCTTTCCTGGGTAGTATAAATCTTGTCAAGCCCTCAGAGTGTTGTTCATGCCAAAAGTCACCATCATTGATTAAAGAAAAGGAAATGGATTTTTAGCTAAATCAAGGTTATCAAAAGAAGCTATTATCCACAGTTTTTCACTTTCGTATCTGAAATCATGGATCATTCCATGGATCCTTGGGGGATCCTTCCTTTCTGAGAAATCAAATAAAAAGGCTTTTTCACAGGTTTGTTTTTTTTTTAATCACCAAAACCAGAAATAGACCCAAAGCCCTGGAAACGTGGACTGGGCTTTGTATTTCTCTTCAGTGGCCAGAGGGAAACTATTATTTTATACAAGGAAATTTTTCAAATGAAAAAGTGAATTGTAAACTAATTCAGAAATTAATCTTAGAATAAAATAGAATAACAGAGTTGGAAGCCTCTTTGGAGGTTTTCTAGTCCAACCCCCTGCTCAGATAGGAAACCTATGCATTTCAGACAAATGGTTGTCCATTCTCTTCTTAAAAACTTCCACTGCTGGAGCATGCACAACATAGGAGGCAAGTTGTTCCAATGATTTAATTGTTCTAATTTTATAATATAATTTTTATAATATAACCATTTTCTATTTTAACTGCTTTCTACAAGCCCTTTTTCAACCCCATATTCTTTAAAGTCCAAATTCACCATATCTGTATATATGAAGGCAGGATAAGAAGTTACAGATAGAAATTAATGAAGGAGAGAAGCAACCTAGAACTAAGGAGAAACTTCCTGACAGTAGAACAATTAACCAGTGGAACAACCTGCCTCCAGAAGCGGTGAATGCTCCAACACTGGAAGTGTTTAAGAGACTGGATAGCCATTTGTCTGAAATGGTATAGGATTTCCTGCCTGAGCAGGGGGTTGGACTAGATGACCTCCAAGATCCCTTCCAACTATTATTATTATAGTTGTTGTTGTTATTGTTATTATTATATGTTTATGGCCGGCTTTTAAATTTCTGTTGGCTTAATCTTTCTCTACCTCAGTGGTCATTAAACTGAGTCACTTGAACATGAGATGGGCAACATATAAATTTAATAAATAAAATCAACTCCTTTTGCCAGAGTTTCATCTGTTATTTTGTGTGTGGGGGGTGTTGTTGTTTCTGTTTTCTATTTTTGTTCAGTCCAAGTCTCTAAACTTTCTCCATCTTTTGTACAGGTTTCTTCCCGGGTTTCTTCTCTGAGGGAAACTTTTCCCTCAGGCCGGTACTGAGGGAAGCCAAAAAAAGCGCCTCATTCTCCTCAGCTGTTGCCTCCTTTCCTGAATTGAATTTAAATTTCACTTTCTTTCGCCATAGGCGTCGTCAAGGGTGAGGTAACAGAACCTCTCAGGCAACCATCTTCCCCCCCATGCATGCCTGCCTAGTGGTGCCGTCTGATTGGTCGCTGCTGCTTGATTGGCAGTTGGGTCGTCGTGACGAAGGCAGCCTAAGAAGGGGCTGGGGCGTGGCCAGCAGGAGCTTATTCCGTTCGCCCTTCAGAGCGTCTCAATGGCGATCGCGTCTACCTCGCAGTTATTTTAAATTTAGGGTGACGTTGTAGGATTACTTTCAGGCCAGAGGCCTCAATCTTTAGCCAAAGGAAGCGAAAGCCAAGATTTAACCCTTTTTTAGAATTAATTTTGAGATTATTCATGGCTTTGGCGCTGTAATGGGCGAAATAAGCGAGCTCCCTCAGGGGGAACCTTTGATTCCGAGGCTTTTAAATCCTGAGGTAATTTTTGCTCCTCAGCCATCACAGAGAGAAGAACTCCAGCTGTTCAGCGCCAAAGGCAGGAAGGGTCTGCCTGGTGCAGATTTCTCACGTGAGGACTTTTATTTCTGAGGCAACAGGATACAGACCAGGAGACCCAGAGTTCTAATTCTGCCTTAGCCAAAAAACAACCCATCCCCCCTAAAAAACACTAGAAGGACTAGGGGTGATTATTTTTGGAGAGGAAACTCACCACATCTCCAAGGCCACTGCTATGTCCTGAGCAAATTAATATGTAGGAGGCCTCCCAAGTAGAAGTCTTACACTTATTGTTGCTTATCCTACCTGGGCTGAAGGCACAGTTGTTCTCTCTGCTCCATCTAGAAAAGAAGACCTTTTAACGACCACCGAAGTCATATCAATCCCTATGACAGAGACAAAATGGATGGAAGGAGACTTTTAAAAAGTAGGGGTAATGATTTTTAGGTTGGCAAGAGATACCAGTATATTACAGTCACAACTAAAACAGATCCTGTAAAACTGAAGATGACTCAGATAGCTTCAATATTACCTGGTGAGATCTCCTGAGTTTGATCTTTAGAGTTCCCCTTGCAAAGGATCTTTTGGGAGTGATCTGATAGATCCACAGTTGCCTTGAGACCTTGTACATCTACCTTATTAGAACTTCTCTGCATATGAAGAACAGATAGGAAGAAAGAATTAAGGCAGAACAATGTGGATGCTTCCCACCTAGGGATGCATTTGGAGAAGTCAAGGAGAAATCTAACCTAGAATTAAGGAGAAATTTCCTGACAGAACAATTAATAAAGGGAACAGCTTGCCTCCAGAAGTTATGGGTGCTCCATAACTAGAGGTTTGTCCAGAATGGTATAGGATCTCCTGTTTGAACAGGAGGTTGGACTAGAATAGTGATGACGAACCTTTTAGAGACCAAGTGCCTAAAACCCGGCCCACCTGAACCCCACCCACTCCCATTCCATCCCCCACCACTGCTCCCATGGCGTGCTGCAGTCTCCAGGCAGCCACGCCCTCTGCCCACGCCCCACAGCATCAACCATGTGATGGGGCACAAGGGCTGAGTCTTGTGCCCGCTGCCCAGTCCTTGGTAGTGCTGCTATGCGTGGGCCATGCTTGGGGGCAACTCCTCTGGGGGGGGGCTGCTGGTGAGAGAGCTGCAGGGGGAGCTGGGGCTGGGGCGATGCTGCACGTGCCCACAGAGAGGGCTCTGAGTGCCGCCTCTGGCATGTGTGCCATAGGTTTGCTACCACTGGACTAAAAGATCTCTAAGGTCCTAACTCTGTTACACTGTTACTGTTTCTCTCACCTGCTTCTCTTTGTCCTCTGCCTGGCTCAGGAGGAAGCCTTCTGCCAGGGCCACTGCCTGGGAAGTGGTCTCTGCTCCACACTCCCATAACCAATTGGCCATCTCTGGGGGAAGAACAGTCAGGAACTGCTTCAGAACCAGCATGTCTAGCATCTGAGCTTTGGTGTTTATTTCTGGCTTTAGCCATTGAAAGCAAAGGCAGTGGAGATGGCTGCAAACTTCTCGGGGTCCCTTAAACATCTGGTAGAACTCCCTGAGATTTTGGTGATGGGCATCCCAAGGAAGGATATGTTCTATTAAGATCTTCTGCCTGGTCCTCTGCCCTGATTCCTCCTGGCTCTCCACCTGAGCAAGATGAAGGACTTTTCTAGTTGGCTCTTCTGCCTCCATTTTCTCCTGGATCTCCAGAACTATTGATATTGGAGAAACAGCATCTGTGGAAAAAGTTTAGAAGTCCCTAATGCCCCCCTTTTGCGAGATAGAATAACAACTTTATTGTCACTTTGAATGTACAGTAATCGGCATACCTTAATATGAAATTTTGTTGCATACAGCTCTTAAAGTGTCACCACTTCCAATATACACTACATAAATATACAAAAAAGAAAGAGAAAGAAAAAGAAAGAAAGAAAGAAAGAAAGAAAAAGAAAGAAAGAAAGAAAGAAAAAGAAAGAAAGAAAGAAAAAAATACAGAATTATGCATATACCCATATATAGTACATGACACAGAGAAACAATAGTCTAGTTTGGGTTATGTATACATGTGCATGGCAAGAAAAAGAAATCTTGCAAGTATATCAACGTGGATGGCATAGGCCAGGGAACAAAGCTATTACAGAATCGGGTAATCCTGCTAGAAATATTTTGAAACCTCTCCCAGAGGGGAGCACCAGAGCTCTAAGCATAAGCAACATCCTGAATAGCAGGAAGTGATAAATAATAATAATAGTAGTAAAGTTGGAAGGGACCTTGGAGGTCATCTAGTCCAACCCCCTGCTCAGGCAGGAAACCCTACACCATTTCGGACAAATGGCTGTCCAGTCTCTTCTTAAAAACTTCCAGTGTTGGAGCATTTACTGCTTCTGGAGGCAGGCTGTTCCACTGATTAATTGTTCTCACTGTCAGGAAGTTTCTCCGTAGTTCTAGGTTGCTTCTCTCCTTGATTAGTTTCCACCCGTTGCTTCTTGTCCTGCCTTCAGGTGCTTTGGAAAATAGCTTGATTCCCTCTTCTTTATGGCAGCCCCTGAGATATTGGAATACTGCTATCGTGTCCCCCCTTGTCCTTCTCTTCGTTAAACTAGACATACCCAATTCTAGCAACCGTTCCTTATATGTTTTAGCCTCCAGTCCCCTAATCATCTTTGTTGCTCTTCTCTGTACTCTTTCTAGAGTCTCAACATCTTTTTTACATCGTGGTGACCAAAACTGGATGAAGAGATGATGGAAACCTTTATTCCCTCCCCCCAAAAAGCCTTCTTGAGCTGCCTCCTTCTTAACACCCCCCCCCCTGTAAGGCCTGGGTAGATGGACTCCCAGCCTTAAGTCAAAGAGGGGTCTAATTGGTGGGGGCTCTCTTCCAGGAATGGAAAGTTCTTCCGGCTACTCGGAGCCATAACATTTTAATTCCCTAAAGCCAGGAAGATTCACCCACAGTGAAAAACTCCTGCAGCTGCAAGCTCCTCCTCCCTTCAAGACCCCCAATTATGGAAGGGGGAGCACCTCTCCTCTCCCCTCCCAGCATTGCAACACAAGGTTCTTCCTCACAAGGAATGAGATGGGGGAGTTTTTCCAAGGGAGGGGAGATGCTTTGCGTTGACACAATGCAGATACCAAAGGTGTATTTCCAGACCAACCTCTAGGAAGATTTGGATTTGTTCTGCTTTGCTTTGCTTTGCTCTTTCAGAGGAGATGCAACCTAGAATCATCCTTTCCCTCTTCCGGTGCTCCATTCCAGGAAAAAAAATTTGCAGCCTTCCTATTCATGAAGGAGGCTCCATCTATGGGTTAAAGTGAGAAAGTATAGTACCCTAGAGAGGCAAGACTCTCTTCCTGCCCTCCAGTTTCAACTTCCCTTTTCTCCCCCTCCATCATCAGTCTACCTTCTCTGGGCAGCAGGCAATGAAAGCTTCCGTCTTTTAATAAAATGTTTTAGAACTGGTGCGAACATACTCTATTTTTATCCCTTGTCCTTGTGACTCCATATCTGTCTCACTTACGCAGCACCTCTTTGACTCCCCTTGGAGGTGTCTCTTGCACAATTCCTGCGTAGCCTGCTAGACACTGGATTCCTTGGAGAGCATAGGGAGATAATCCAAGAAAATCTTTTCTTGCAGATATTAGGTACTGAAGAACTCTGATTTGTTCATACTTTATTTTTTTCTTCTGGAGCACTCGGGAGTAAGGCAAAAATCCATCTTGCAGTCAACAAAACTCACCAAGTTCAGCAATCACAAAATGAGTTGCTTATAGCTGTGGATTTCCTGGATGTTGTTCATACGAAGCCACACAGAATCACTTGATAGTGAGGTGGGTGGCATATAAACGTAATAAATAAAAAGTAAAACAAATAAATACTACCCCACTTCAATTCTGTTCACTCTTTTGACATCAACTAAGCTTGCCTTGGGTCTAAAGCCAAGCTGAGATTAGGCCTGTAAATGGAGTCTTCCATTCTCATATAGTACCATGCTCTGCTTCATTTGTTTAAGAACACAACACCAAGGTTGTTTAAGGCAGGCTGAGGATTTAGTTTCTTGTGCAATGCCCAATGCCTGGTTGGTGACGGGATAACAATGGATCTCTTATCCCCAAAAGTCTGGGAACAAAGCCAAACCAAGCCCATCCAGATCCACTTCAAGGTACACAGGCCAAGTGACCCATGGAGTCAGAATCTTCTACTGGGACTTCCAGTAGGACCCCTCCAAACGACCAACTTATGGTCCCAGAAACCTTTTGCATTGACCATTGGCATCCTCAGCTCTCTAAAGACCACAAGGAATTTCCACATTGCCAGGCTCAAGGCCATAATCTCTCTATGGATGATGTTATGTCCCGAGCCTTTGCAAACGGCTCGGGCGTTTGCAGGCAGTCCCGGGCAGGTGCAAAGCTGCCCGGGACCAGACAGGCTGTCGCCAGCGCCGTGCGCATGCGCGGGTGCTGGCGCGGGAAAAGTAACCCATTTACCCGGGAGTTGCCTATATAAGAGGCTGTGAGGCGTTTGGGCTGAGCTGAAGCCATCTTCCTGTAAGCTGAACGCTGAATAAAAGAACCTGAGAACTCCAGCTGCTTCTCGTGTCTGTTTTCCCGCCAAGGACGTAACACTGGCGACGAAGGTGGGATGCCTTGCACTACCTGGAAAGGAAGAAGTGTAAGCTTACCCAAGGAGTCCTGAGCGGCGGAAGAGGAACGGCGTCGACTCGGCAGCTACCCGCCAATCCGGTGCGCATTCGGGGGTAGGCTGGCTGATAGACCTGTCTCCTGAAGATCCGAAGATGGCGAAAATCGGAAGGCTTTCGGAATTCGACGTCTCACATCCAGAGCGGTGGGAGTCCTACGTATCAAGAATGGAGAACTACTTCAAGGCAAACCAAGTGAGGGAAGATAGCTTGAAGGCCGCCACCCTGCTTTGCGTTTGCGGCCAAGACGCCTTCGAAATCGCAGAAAATCTTGTAGCACCTGTTCCAGTAGAGTCTGTAAGCTACTCAGACCTGAAGAAGCTGCTGAAAGAGCACTTCCACCCCAAGGTGTCCGTTATCTCATGGCGCCACACCTTCGAGCAGAGGGATCAACGGTCCGGTGAAACAGCCAAGGAATACATCGCCGCGCTACGGAAGGCCGCCAAGCCCTGCGAGTTCAAGGCCCTCGAGGAACGACTGAGGGACCGATTCGTGTGCGGGCTAAGGCATCGAGAGCTACAACAGAGACTTTTTGCCAAGGAAGAATTATCCTTCCAAGACGCCTTAAGGGAAGTCACCGCAGAAGAAGCAGCAAGCGGCGCCATCAAAAACATGCGGCCGATCAGAAACAGTGCAGAGGGTGCGTCCGTGCACCAGGAAGACGTACGACGAAACTCCGAGGAGGATCCGGACGAGGAAGTCGACCGTCTACACCCCGCGAAGGAAGAGAACCAGAAGGGAAGCTCTTCGGCTCTGCTCAAGTGCATCGGCTGTGTAGGTCGCCACAGGAGAACCGACTGCAAGTTCCGCTCCGCTACCTGCCGGGCATGCGGCAAACAAGGGCATATTGCAGTCTGTGTGTCTGAGCGAACGAAAGGCACAACCCAAGAAGACGCTGAAAGGTACCAGATTCCCCAGCCAGATAGGGTAGGGTTTGCGCTTCGCGAAGAAGCATTGCTGTAGAACAGGCACACACAGCCATGAAGAAAAGCGTCACTCCGTGAAGCTACAGGGTTTCCATTATCTATGGAACTAGAACAGGGTCTGCCCTGTCCATCATTTCATGCATCATTTAGGAAGAATTTGTTCGCAGTAGTGGGTCTAGGCCAAGTTAAGGCCTTCTGATATTGTATTAACAGATTTTCAGAACTCAAGAGTGTGTGTTAAGGGGGAGGCCACCCTTAACGTGCAATACAAGAGTTTTGAAGGTCCACTAGACTTATTAGTAGTAGGGGGTGAACGAACGAGTCTCAGAGGACTCGATTGGTTTGAGGCCCTGGGGATACACGTCACAGGACTCAACAGCTTACAAACACTCGACCTACAGGAAGTCTGCAAAGAATTTGCAGATGTTTTCAGCCCCCAGCTGGGCACATTCAAAGGACCACCTGTGTCCTTAAGCTAGACCCCACTGTCACTCCCATTAGGATTAAAGCAAGAAGCAAGAAGGGTCCCTTTTGCTTTAAAAAGTAAGATTGACACTGAACTAGACAAACTAATCCAACAGGGAATCCTAGAACCTGTTGATTCCAGCCCGTGGGAGACCCCCATTGTCACGCCTCTAAAGGCAAATGGGGACATTCGCATTTGTGCTGATTACAAATGCACACTCAATAAGGCATTGCAGCAACATGCCTATCCTGTTCCTGTGGTCAGTCACATCCTGGCCTCTCTCAAGGGGGGGCGTGTTTTTGCAAAGCTTGACCTAGCTCAAGCATATCAACAGCTGCCTGTTGATGATGATGCTGCCATAGCTCAGACCATTGTGACCCACAGGGGAGCCTTTAAAGTAAAAAGGCTACAGTTTGGAGTAAATGTCGCTCCTGGGATTTTCCAAAGCGTAATGGAAAACACACTACGAGGTATACCAGGGGTCTGCCCCTACTTTGACGATGTCTTGATTGCAGGAGACTCCACACACATTCTAGCTGAAAGACTTAGGGCTGTCCTGTTAAGATTCAGGGAATCAGGCCTCAAGCTCAGAAAAGACAAATGCAAGATCGGGGTGCCTTCTACTGAATTTCTGGGATTCAAAATTGATGCTGCTGGGATTCATCCTGCTGAATCCAAACTAACTGCTATTTTACAAGCACCCAGGCCAAAGTCTAAGGCCGAACTTCAGGCCTTCCTAGGCCTCCTGAATTTCTACAATTCTTTTCTTCCACATAAAGCTAGTGTAGCTGAGCCTCTTCACAGGCTACTAGACAAACAAGCTGTGTGGCTGTGGTCACAAGCACATGAGGCTTGCTTTAAAGAAGTCAAGGCCTTGCTCACTTCTAACAGTGTTCTTGCACATTTCAACGAGTCTCTTCCTGTGTGCATCGCTTGTGATGCATCCCCCTACGGGGTTGGAGCTGTCCTGAGTCACCTCAGGTCTGATGGAACTCAGGTTCCTATTGCATACTACTCCAGAACACTGTCTTCTGCCGAGCGCAACTACGCTCAGATAGACAGGGAGGCTCTGGCTGTTGTTGCTGGAATTAAAAAATTCCACGATTTTCTATATGGCAGGCATTTCACGGTCTTCACTGACCATAAGCCTCTGCTGGGACTGTTTACCACACGTAAGCAGACTCCCCACATCATTTCCCCTAGAATGCTTAGGTGGTCTATTTTCTTGTCTGCATATGATTTTTCATTACTCCACAAGCCTGGGAAAGAAATGGGCCATGCTGATGGCCTCAGTAGGTTGCCTCTGCCAGTAGTAGAAGCTGACCCCGCGCCAGCTGTCAACATTCTATCAATCCAAGCCTTGCCCGAGCTCCCTCTTAGTGCCAGGGATGTTACCGCTGAAACGGGTACAGATCACACACTTTCACGTGTCCGCTCCTGGGTCCTGTCCGGGTGGCCTGAGCACTGCCCTAGTCCTGAGTTTCAGAGTTTCTGGTCCAAAAGGAACGAACTGTCCCTTTCTCAGGGTTGTCTGCTTTGGGGAAACAGAGTTGTCATTCCCACCTCAATGAGGACTAGGGTCTTAGAATCCCTCCACGAGGGTCATCCTGGCATTGTTCGTATGAAGGCTCTTGCACGAAGCCACTTGTGGTGGCCTGCTTTAGATAAAGATATTGAGGCTAAGGTACACGCATGCCACCTCTGCCAACGATCTCGCCCAGAGATGCCCCAAGCTCCTGTGCATAGATGGGAGGAAACACAGTCCCCATGGTCTAGGGTGCACATTGACTACGCTGGGCCCTTTCAGGGCCAGTTCTTCTTGGTCCTTGTTGACAGCCATTCAAAATGGCTTGAGGTTGTGCCTGTCTCATCCACCACCACTGCAAAGACTATTCAGGTACTGAGGGGGATTTTTGCTGCACACGGGCTGCCAGATGTCATCGTGTCCGACAACGGCCCTCAATTCACCTCCTCCGAATTCCAAGCTTTCTTACAGGCAAACCTGATTCGTCATGCCACGTCTGCGCCTTTTCACCCGTCCACCAACGGTATGGCTGAACGCATGGTGCGCATCGCAAAGGACGCCTTGAAGAGACTCACCTACGGGGACTGGCATCACAGGTTGGCTGACTTTCTCCTTTCTTATCGCACCACACCGTCCACTTCTACAGGGAGAAGTCCAGCTGAACTTCGTTGGGGGCGCCAACTTACTACTAGACTTGACCGGTTGCATCCGGACAGACTGCCTTCATCTACCTCACATCCTAGGGCACCTAGACGACTACTTGTGGGTGCCCCGGTTTGGGCTCGCAATTACGGGCCTGGTCAT